AAATCCCACACTTTTTTTTTTTTAAAAAAAAAAGGTTATTAAAAAAATCACTTTTTTTTTTTCAGATTCGCACATGACCTTTACATTTTATAAAAATGATTTTGTCTACGCAATCCAATCATTCTTTTTTCGAAAGATTGTTCCAGAGAAGAGAAAAAAATCAAGTTTTTTTTTTATAACTTTAATATCTTGTACGACAACCCGAATTTTATAGAAACTTGATTCAACTCGTAGATTTTTTTTAAAATAAAAAAAACTTGTTATAAATATGTCAACCACCAATATATTTATTTTCATATGTGTTACTTTAAAAAGCTAAAACTAGAGACAATTAAGAATAGAAATGACTTGTATATATTATTTATTTTATCATTTTTATTGGAGGGTAGAAAAATTCAATTCTATCATGGGAAAATAAAAAAGGTATCGGGACGTGTAAGAAGTAGAGAAATTAACGGAAGGAGCATATAATGCATCAAAATTATGCATGTGGATTTACCACGTCTGTTAAAAAAAAGAGGGAAAGCTTCAATTAAACCATAATAAAAAAATTTTTTTAAACTACATAATTGATAAGAATGGTCAATCATGTAGGAGAAAAGAAAGATAAACCCGATTTAAATCTTACTTTTTTGTTCAAAAAAAGAAAAAATTTTTTTTATATATACATCCATTTTAAAAAAGAAAGGTAAAAAAGGGTCCTCATACCAAACAAAGTCTAGTGCAATACAATATATACACAACCTATTTTTTTTAGAGTAAATAGAAGAACAGGGCACCTTTTTTTGTCGTGTTACGAGACGTAAATAAACCATGTATCTATATAAACCTAAAAAATAAATAAATGTGATATTTATTATTATTATATAATTTATATATTGAATTACATATTACATTTGTTAACTTACATAAAGAACCGTTTTTTTTTTTATTTTATTTTGTTTAAATTGTGCATATCAAAATTTTTGCTATTGAAATAATTTATTGAAATAATTTATTAAAACAATCTTTAAAAAGCAACTCTGCTCCGTGATTTAATAAACATTCCCGATGGAAAAAAAAAATTACTTTACTGAAGATATACAATATATGTTTAATTTAAAAAAAAAAGAAAGGAATTTTTCTTATAAAATACTTGAAAATAAAACCAAAAAGTCTCCTGAAATTTCTTCTTCCTTTGAAAAAAATTATTTTTAAAAAATAAAAATAAAAAATAAGAAAAAAAAATTTAATTACTTTTTAATAATATCCTCTTTTATTTTTATCATCCACAGTTCATTTCAAAGAATTTGATTGAGTCAAATATCTTAATCTTCATATGTAAGCAACTTTCTTTTTTTAAATTCAAACTTGTTTCTTCTTATACAACACGAAAATCTGAGAGAGAGGCTTTGATTTCGAAATTCGAAATTAAATCCTTTAAAGGAATGGAATTCTGTTAAAAATAAACATACTAGCGCGATTTTTTTTAACCCTTAAAAAAAAAACCGGAATTTTCTTCAACTTGATATTTAACAATTTGACAACAAGTTTAATAATAACAATAATAACAATACTCTTGAATTTGACAATTCAATTTTCATTTCCATTATTTATTGTTAACAAGTTTTTTTTTTCAGAACATCCTGATATTTTCTCACACTTAAATATATAAAAGAGTTAATCTTCTTTTCATGGAAACAACAACATTCAGGGTTCTTCTTATTAACAACTTTTTTTTTTTCCTTTAAAATAAAGGTTTCTCTTTCTGTAAACAAAAAGTTTTCAAAAAAAAAAATCCTTTTTTTTTTGTTTACGCTAACGAAACGAATTATCAGCCAAAAATCACAATCCCCCTCGTCGGTTAAAAAAAAATCTTGTCGATCCTCCAACAAAAGAACAACAAAAAAAGATTTTTAACAATAAGAGAAAGAAAAAAAGAAAAGGTACATTTCAAAAATTTATATGATATGATTGTTATAGAAAAAAAAAATTTTTTTAATTTAATAAAAAATATGTTGGGTGTTAAAGTAAAAAAAAAAAAAAAAAGATATATTACCCAGTACTGTAAAACTTAAAATCGTAGATTTCAACTTATCCTTATTTATATTTATGTAATATTTCGAGACACAAATTTCCCCATCTGGTTACTATACGTTCTATTATAACTGTAAGAAATAAAACAAATATAAAGTTAGTTCATAGATGTTCCCCCTTTTGAAAATTGAGAAATTTCATTTTTTTTTTTTCCCTTAAAAAAAAAAAGAAATTTCTAAACTTTCTTCCTTTCTCGATTCATTAATCCTTTTTTTTGTAACGAACCTACAGCAGTCCTTTTTATTTACCAATCCTTTAAATTTTTCTCATTTTTAGCTGTCAAAATTCACGATGGAACAATATAATTCATACCTTTCTTCACCTGAAGACATTTCAGTTTATCAAATGAATTTTGAATTATCTCAATTAAAACTTCATGAGCGACGACAAGAAAGTATTCAATCTCAACCCACACGAGAACAAGAACAAATGTCAACTTATAATAATCCATTAATGATATATGATTTACAAAATAAACCCTTTGGATCCCCCCCCACGAATCATCATTCTTCGTTTCCTTCTCATCAATCGAGCGCACCGCAAGATCTCCCCCAACAGCAGTACGCTCCACCATTAAAATTGCCCGTCTCTTCCTCGCTTCGATATTCACCACCGGATGATTATTTTCAACAACAGAGATCTTCGTCACTACAACAAATGTCACCACAGCATGATATCGTGTTATATCCTGACGCACCCCAACATCATCATTATTTACCAATGTTCCCTTCTTCTCCTTCTCCGACAAGACAGACCGCTTTCCGTCAACAACCCACAAACTCTTCTTCATCTTATACCTTACCTGCCTTACAATCCTCTGTTAATTATCACCAAAACTCTCAAGACAAATATTTTGATGCTCAACAGAAGTCTTCCGGTCCCACACCACCATTAACCCCCACTGGTATTCATCGTACGGTGAAAAGAAGAAGTTCCACTTTGCTCGTGAAAAAATCGGATGGTGCCGTGGTGAGTCTGTTAAATGATGAGGATGATTTTAATACTGCGGAATTCACAAGCATGGATGTGGATCCTTCTTGGGTTCACCTTAAAGAGGATTCCTCGGCTGGACGGAAACAATCAATCACGGAAGAGATGCTTGTACAACGTCAAAAACACGCTACTACTAATTTGGCAACTGGCAATAAGAGAAAGTATGCTTGTACTCATCCAAATTGTGGTAAGAGTTTTACTACGAGGTACGTAATTGGTTCGATCATTATTACTTAATAATTACAATTTTAGAATGATGTTGATTATTCGTTTTGTACCTTTTCTCCATTTAATTTTTTTATATCACCATTTGAAAAAAAAACAGCGGTCATTTGGCTAGGCATAATCGAATACATACGGGTGAAAAGAACTTCCCATGTTTAATGGCAGGATGTGCGTCAAAATTTTCAAGACAGGATAATATGATGCAGCATTATCGTACTCATTTATCTGCGAAAAGTCGCAGAGGTTCCAAGGTCGGTAATCCTTTACATCATCAACCTATACGTCACGCTTCCGCTTTACAGGATAACCATTCAAAAAGAATGAGACGAATGATTAATAATGCCATTACGAACAACAGCAATGACAATAACGACAATAACGACAATAACAATATCATAAACAACAACATTACAAATAATAATACTACATCATCGACAGCGTTGATAATGCCTCCAACTCCTTTAACTACTCCAACTTCAACAACTGTTAACGGCTATAATTTTGGTAACATTCTTCAAAACGCCGTCCCATCTGATAATAATCCTACTTTGCCACCTGTTCGCTCAATAATTTCCGAACAAATGGTGTTACCTCCAATTCATACTTTAGACCCCACATTGGCATCTGCTCAACAACATTCTTCGTTTCAACAAGATAATGGATTAAATAATAATCCTCATTTCATGAGGAGTGGTGGAAATGGTCAGCGCAATGAATTTTCTCCAGCTGTCGAATTAACCAATCATTATGTTAGCATAATGAGTTGATTTATGTTCAAAATTATTATTAACTTTTGAATTTTTTTTTCTTTTTCTTTTTCTTTGCTTTTTTTTATTAGCAAAAAAAATTTTTAATTGTAATATAAATCTTTTCTAATTTGTAATTATTTTTTTTTTTTTCAATTTAAATTTTTTTTCAATATTCGAATTTTGCATTATTTTTTCACGAAATTTTTTTTCATGAACGAACCGAACCCACCTTCAAGTCGTTTTTATTTATAAAAGAAAGATATTCTTTATCTTGGCAAAAAAAAAAAAAAAAAAATTAATGTTTTTATAAATCTTTTTCTCTTATTTTCATTTTCATTTTCATTTCATTTCATTTTTTTTTTATCTAGAAAAAGGTTGAAATTTTTTTTTTTTGAAATTTTTTGTCGTTTTATTTCTTATTCTTTTGTGGATCTTTGATGCACCGAGCATCATTTTGCAAACTCCGCCTGGATTCCGTTTTAACTTTTTTTGTTTACATTTCGGTTTTTTTTTTAAATATATATATTATTATATACCATTTTTTTTTTCTTATTACGATTGAATCGTAGAAAAAGCAGATAATTGATTAATTTTCATTTGTTTTTTTTTTCAATTCTCTTTTTCTTTAACCTTTTTCTTTTTCTGCTTATTTATTACTTTAATAATAATACTTAATTTGTACATTTTAATTTCTTCACTTTTTTTTTTTTTTTATTTTTTTTTTTATTTTTTATAAAAAAAAAAAAATATTATTATTCTCTTCAATAAAGTCTAAAGCTGGACTTAGAAACCTCTTATAATAAATTAGATGAAATTTTTTTTTTTAAAGAATAGACTATAACGCTGCTATTTTTTTATAAAATTTTTTATTATATACGTAAACTAATTCTACAGTGTTATACAGATTCCAAAATTTGCTTATCACTCCCCCTTTTTTAAAAAAATCAGTTTACACTTTTAATGCATTCTCGTATATTCTTCTACAGTCTTTAATAAATCATCTACCTTCTTACCTAACGTTATTGCAATTTCCGCCATATCTTTTCGAGGTAAATCTAAGAAGGATTCTATTAAGTCTCCATCAACGAAATCTCGTACTTCACGTGATCGATATTCATTCTGAAAAATTCGCCAACTTTGATTATTATTTTATAAAGTTAAGGATAGACAATTTTTTTTTAAAATGATCAACAATTATAAAGTTGCTTGCTGCAAGCATTAATTGAAGTCATTCGAGATTACAATCTTTACAGCCAGCAACTTCCATCAATAATAATAATAATAAAGGATACTCGGAATGAGTTAGTCCACCAATAGGTCCAACGGTCTTATCTATACAATGTTCCAACTTTTGTAAAAATTTAAACCTATCTTCTGATATGGTTGCGATGACGCCAATGGCGCCGGAAACCGTTCCAAATAATAAAGTTTTTGAAGCGATTGGCTCAAAATCAGGATTATTCATGGCCAAGGATCCTAATATGTATATAATTGTGCTAAAATATCAGTAGTTTTAAAAATGTACATATATATATAAATAAAATCCATACCATGTCGTATCCGATTTATTAGATCACCCAAATGAAATGCTCCCACTTCTTCCAATTTCCTTCGTTCCTCCTCATCTGTTGAATCAGAATTCCTCTTGAGTGTAAAGAGATTGTGATCTGTATCAGCAGCTATAAATTCATCATCATCAAGAGCTTCGACTGCCGATAACCAATTTTGATTATAATCGTTAGCTATTAATTCTAAAACCTTTTCTCCATTTTCCAATTCTTTATATGCTAACAAAGTGACCGATCGCAATAAGTCACCGACTACTACGAAATGACCTCGCGCGACAACATGCAATGCCATTGTAAAATTAACATAATTGCAAACTTCCGTCAATTTTCCTTTTCCTTCTTCCGGATTCCATTCCAAAACGATCACCTAATATTAAATTTATTATTAATGAAAAATTATCGCGAAAAATAAAAATAATAATAAAAATAATAATTTACCATTGAGTTTACACCAACCAATAATTTGCCGTTAAAAGGAGCACATGCAAAAACTGCACCCCTCATTTCCTTTTCATGAGCTAATTTTAATTTAGGTGCATGATCAACCTTATCCACATGGAACACCAATATTCTACCTCTAAACGGTTCAGTTTCATTTGGAAAAGCAAATGAAGTTCCGACAACATAATATTCTGGTGCTTCTTCTCTTTCATGATCAAATTTTACCGATGTAAGACAATGAACTGACTCGTGTGGTAACATTTGGAACCAATCATAAACTTTTTAAAAAAAATAAAATAAAAATAAATACAATAATTCTTGCTAAATTTCATAATTCTTGTACATACTTACATTCAAAAGATTGGTCGTCTAGAACCTTGAAAAACGATAAATGTTCCTGTATACCAGTTTCAGGATCAGGTACTGGTCTTGTTGTTAAAATTCCAATTGTATTACTACATTCCTGGTGAAATATACGCCGTGGCATTTCATTAAGGGGTATTGTCCTAATATGAAGTTTTTGTATTTCATCTATACTGCCAATGGTTAAACCTTCTTCATGCGTGATAACTAATGATGTTGCCATAGATGTAGGTCGGAAAGGACACATATATGTCACATCCTTTATAATAAAAGTTAAGATAGAAAAACGAATCATAAATTATATTACAAATAATTTATCAATATCACTATATTTATTCACCTTGGTATTAACATTAGAATAAAGCAATTTTTTGTTGCTGCTATAAATTACGGTTGGTCTATCCGAAGCAGCGAAAACGTGATTCATTCCATTGGACGTGAATGAGGTTAACATTATGGGCTGTGTACCAAGAGAAAGTTGTTTTTTCTCTGATAACCGACCTGTTTCTGGAGTGAAAATGAAATGGAACAATTGCCCATCACCTAAAGCTGCTATTAGATAATGATTATATTCGAACGTTGTTAACAATACAGAACGCGTAATTGCTGTTCCTTCAAGAGGTTGATTTGCTATTATTTCTAAAGTAGGCAACCTCAATATCTGTACTCCAATTATAGTCCAGAGACCCACGGCAACTACCGTGGAATTTATAGGATTATTTATATCTAGCGGACTAATATTAACACACGAAACTTCGTATTCTAATTTCGTTGATCTATTTTTTTTTTTTAAAAAAAAAAATAAAAGGTTAAAACATTTTTCTTAACGTGGATTTTATTAATTTAATAAAGTTCACTCACTTTATTTCTACTAGATCTAAACCTCTTATCTCAAAATAAATTAAGCTCCCACCTCCAAGTGCTACAACTACTTGAGTAGGATTTATATCAGCAACAGTTATCTTACTAAGTGCTGGAGGATTCCACTCAGAAGTGACTCTCTGATTATTTAAATCAATCAATCTTACGCTAGTTTCAGTAACCTAAAATTTAATTTTAACTTAATGATTAATCCGAAATCGCTTAGATAAAAAATTTCTAAATTCACCTGTGCAAGTAAATTTCCAACTATATTGGATGTCGCTATAGTGGGTCGACTCATATCAAAGCCGCAATACTGGTTTACTTCTTCCAATTCTTCACCTTGTGATAATTTTAAAATACGAGTTTCTCCAATAAATGATATAACCATCATATCATCATAACTAGATAAAAGAAATCGGTTTAATTTTATAATTTATTTTTAAAAAAGAAAATATTTTTCGAAATCTTTCTCAAATCATTGATACGCACTCAGCGTCAAAATTTGGACGTAAAGACCAAATACCATTTATTCCAGACATATCCATCGTTGCTTGAACCGTAATACCAACGCCGTTACGAATAATTCGTAACGATCCATCTCTTGAACCTCCTGAACAAGTAATAACTTGACCCTATATATTTACAATAACAATTAAATAATAATACTTTTTTTCAATGAAAAGTCCATCAGAATTATAACTTATACCTGTCCCTGTCGTTCCAAATTTACTATACAAAAATCCTGTATTGGTGACAAATTGATAAATTTCTCAAGTATATCCAATAAAAAACCTTGTTCATTCTTATCTTGCCGTAATCTTATTAATTGTGAATCACCAAAATGAGACCCAACAAAAACATAACTATGATCAAGGTAAAGTAGGCTCGATGGGACTGAAATCTGTAATTATAAATAAATATGAATTAATATTCATTTACATTGTATTAACCATAAACGACAATATTGGATTAATTTCTTTACCTTTCCAAGAAAGTGTGAATATAATTCTCCTGTATCAGGTAATACAATTAAAATAAGTTGGCCAAACACATCACCAATCAAATATCTCGATCCGTCATCATCAACAGCCGCGATTCTTTATAAAAGATGATTCCCCAAAATAATTTAATAACTAATGCATCAAGTTTGTCGATAGTCTCTTTAACCAATTCATTTGAGTTAGATTGATGTGACCCAATCAACAAGCAACCATAAACAATTATATTTGAATTGAATTATAATAGAAACATTTAATTCAAATATATATATCATGGTCTCAACCAAAACTCAAATGAACTTGTGAATTTCATTTTCATTGATTTTACTTATATACCCAAAGTACTATATTTTACGTATTATAATAGGCTCTATTCAAATAATATGAACGATACCTTACCCTCTTGCCGCAGTAGGAAACTCCAAATCAATTTGCCGTGCCTTAAAATTACCATCATAATATACAATAGTTTTTGATTGTACAATCAAAATTCCACCTGGCAAATATATTGAGTTTTAATAAAAAATTAATCATCATAAGACGAACTTTCACGACGAACTAACCTTTAGGAACAGAAACTAATAAATTTGAAGTATCATCAATATCATTCAATTTCCAGGGTCCATCTACAAATTCTTTTTCTTTAAGATTTATAGTATAAGTTTTGATATGACATCGTTCTTTTGAATCTTCATGTAAAATAGCAATTGTAGGTAAATCTGTATTATGTAATAAAACCATTGATCGGATCAACAATTCCTTTAATCTAGAATAGATATAAAAAAATGAATTTAATTTGTATATAATCAATAAATATAACAGAAAATTATTAAACCTTAAGTTAAATGGTTTTTGAATTGTCCCGATAGGTTGATTATTTCTTGCTTCTCTTCGGATTTGCTGAGTACTTTTATTTAATTGCTGTTTTTGTTTCCCAGAACTTGTTATCATTGGCATTACGGTCAATAGACCATGATACGCATACAATCCAATCATTTTACAATTAGGATCTATTGCAGAAAGTGGTCCTAATTCTGCAGGCTTTCCGACTCGATTTACAAAATTTCCCGTCGCTTCAGTAATTAATTTTTGATTTTCAACGTCATAAGAAAGAACGAAATATTGATATCGAGCAGTTGCGACAAAAAGAAGATCCGTTGTACGTCCCTACAACAATATCAAAAATTGGTAAGGTCATACGATTAAAATCAATTCTAATTATTTTGCAGATATTATGATAAACTCGAGTAGTTGGGAATTCTAATAAGATACCCGCGGTCTATATACTTCCATGGCGGAAATTCTGGCATAAACCGGCAAGTCCATAAATAACTTTAGACCATTTGGCACAAGAGTATAGAATTCTAAACGTGTTGTCTTGCTTTTTGGCGTGAGTAAATAAAGATCATATCAGCAAAGAACAATAATTAATTATTACACGAAACTAACAAAACCTACTTAAGAATCAAATTTGTCTCATCGGGTGCAGAAAAGCTTGCCCTCACAGAAGAGACAACCGTGCTAGGTTTATGAGCAGTGACCACGTAATTATACATTATGTTTGAGTAAAAAAATAATTGATAGAATATATTAATAAAGATCGCGTGTAAAAATATTTTGCACTTCACTTGTTTTATATTTAGGATATCTATCACCGCGTTACGCCCTTTATATTTCATTTTTTTTTTACTATAAATTGAGGGTGTGAAACCCTATTCGTCACTAATTATTCACTAAGGCACTAAAGGTATAGCCATGCCGTCATTAATTAGAAATGATGTCATATGAGCAACTTATATTGTGCTTTTTTATAATATACATATAACTATTATTAAATTTTATTTTTTCGTCTGTTTCTCTTTCTTTATATTATATAATAAATTGTTGTATACAAATTTATTCAAAAATACCAATTCAATTACTAATGCTAGTTGTAACCTAGTATTTGCAGATCATCTTTAAATGACTTATATTAGAGATTTCAATTAATAATGATATAAATGATATATTCTTACTGAAATATACTGTTGCATTAATGAAACATTTTACTATACATATATAGCATTAATATTTTTGATATATGCATCTAAAGAACAAAGATCATTTTACTAGAATGATATTTTTTATTGAATGAATATTTCATTTCCTTCAACCTTACATTATAACTATGATATTATCAGTAATTAAATAAAATTTCTAATATTGATTATGTGAAAGTTTATAAGGCTTTATAAATGTTTTTTAATATTAGTTTTCAATTTAATTATTAGTATAGGATTAATTATATGCATTAATCTTTGAAATTGCATACTCAATTCATCAATATTATTATCAGATACATAATAATTGATGTTAGTAATTATATTTGGCATCTATTTTATATGAATACTATAGTAGTTAAGAATAATTATCAAATATATCAAAAATTCAATAAATTCTGATGCAACAGATAACCACAATTTTACAATAAGAATAATCATCAAATAAACCAAAAATATATAGCTGCAATTTTACATTTGCAATTACAAAGAATAATTATCAAATAAACCAAAAATGTGGCAGATTCTACTATGGTGACAATTTATATTCACAATAATTAATACAATTGTTAAATAAATCAAAAATGTGACAGATTTTGATATAGCGAACAGCTGCAATTTACTAAAAATAGTGGCAGATTCTGATGTAATAGACAGTTGCAATTTCATATTTATAATTTCATATTTATAACAATAAAAAAATTGTTAAAATTGCAGCAAATTCTGCTATAATGGTAATTTACATTCATAATAATTAGAACCATTATTAAATAAATCAAAAATATAGCAGATTCTGATATAATAGACAGCCACAATTTATCAAAAATAGCAACAAATTCTAATGCATCATAAAATAAACCAAAAATACAATAAATTTCATTTAGCAAACAGCTTCGTAACTATAAAAAATAATTATTAATAAATTAAAATTTTACTGTGATAGATAAATTTATTATTCTATATTATTATCTGAAAAAATAGAACATTTATTTTTAGGTAAAAGGTTGATTTCGTTATGTTGCAAATTTTCAGTTGATTTGATGAAATATCTTTGATCGCTGCTGCCACCCATCATCAAAGATTATAAATTTATCATGATTTTTAAGCTGAATCATATGACGATTCATTTAAGTATGAAGACTTAATGAACTGTAATAGAGGACATATAGTAGGTTATACAAACATTACGAGAAATAAATAAAAGAATAATTTTGTTAAACATAAAGAAAATGTTTTATTAAAATATTATAACGTTATAAGTGATTGCATAATTATCATTGCTAATGATTCACATTACATTCCTCCTAGATTAATTACTTCTCCAGATCACTTCCTTTTTAATAATCCAACTTGTCCTATTTATACATTTTAAATTGATCTAACATTACAGATATATTAGATAATTATTATATAAGGATTGCCTCTAATTATCTAATTATTGTACAATTATTACTACATATTTCATTGCATAGTTACTACATTATAGCTATATAAGAATAACTAATTTCCTAACTATGATTTAATATTTTTTCATAATTACTACATTTACTTCTAATTTTTAAATGTGACATATCATATCATGTAATACTAATTTCATTGATCAACATTTTAATTTATGATTACATTTCTATTATAAGATCGTTTTTCTGCAGTTTCTTTGATGATGAATATTAATCATGCTTTTTGTATCACATTTCTGATCATGTGATTTGTTGTATCTTATTTTTACTTAGATAATAATATAGAATATATCAAAATTAATGTAAACTATTAAACTTTTATCAATTTTTAATAATTATCATATATCAAGTAATATGAATTTTAAATGCCTTTTTATAAATGAACATTTAGTTTTCATCCTGTATATAGTTAATACATTCAATTATGCTTAACTTTCATATCAATGTAGAAGTAGAATACATGTTCATTAGATGAAATCGATGAAATAAGTTGTTCATAAAATAAAAGATTCTTGACTTGAAGAACACAGACAATTTGTGATATATAAACTAAATAATTATTTGTATAAAAATATTTTTGATTAATATTTTTCGAACCTTAAAACCAAGTACAGCCAATTCTACTGCATTAATCTATTATAATAATGTATTACTATTTCATTTATTGTGTTTGGCAATTTGTATATTTCAGAATTTGCTTCGTATTTTAAAAATTGTAATAATTACAGATCATTTAATTTTAAAAACCTTAATTTAGATTAGAGTATAAAATTGGCATAATGATTCATTATTTAAAATGATAAGTTTCTAAAACTTTTATTTTAGATGACTTATTTTCCTCATCAATTTATTGAGTATTATGTATTGAATGGAATTGTTTTTATGCTCTTTTTCATATCTTATTATTGTTTATTTTATGATACAAAAGAAACAATTTCATTTTTTTTTATTAAAATTTTTTTGAATTTAATGTCAGGTTTCAATAATATTTCTTCTTTGGAAGAGGCTAACCAAACTTCTTATTCTAGTATTCGTAGTGATACTAAAACTAATAGTACTGATTTGGATTCTGCAATTCGATTTGATATTTGAATATTTGATTTAAAAATCAAATCAAATACAAATTCAAATTTATATTTGATTTGATTCGATCAAATTCAAATTAAAGAATGATTTATTTGATCAAATTCAAATTAATGTTTGATTCAATTCGATCAAATTCAAATCAAGTATTCAATATTTGATTTGATTTGAATCAATAGTAAAGCCATCCCCAAAGCTTCAGAAGTATCTCTTACTAAAACTATAGTAAAAAGTGTCTTCATAGCTTCAGAAATGCCTTTTTACTAAGAAAATGATAGTAAAAGTGTCTCTGCAGTATTAGAAATGCTTTTTTTACTAAGAAAACATAGTAAAAAATGCTTTTGTGACTTCGAATATGTTATTTTATTAAGAAAACATAGTAAAAAACGTCTACACAGCTTTGGAAATGCTATTTTACTAGTAAAAAAACGCGTTCACAACTTTGAAAACATTTTTTACTAATAAAATTGTTACAAAGTCAAGATGGCGGTTATTAATTCAGAGCATAAGCGAAGGACTATACTATTCTAGATCTGGACTACGTTTGTCTGCCCGCTTGTCCGTTGAGTCGACATTGATTATTTATTTCTGTAGATCTGTTTGATAATTATTTCCCCTAATTTTCTCATGTGTTACCATTCCTAAAATAAACTGAACTCAATTTTAAATAAATAAATAAAAAAAGAATTTTTTTATTTGTTTATTT